CGTCGGACGTACCTGAAGGGGCCCCCAGGACACACAAATCAATACACACAAATAAAAAGGATTCCCCATATCTTCCTATATCTTCTGGGCTTCTGCCTTCCCCCCCATTCCCCATATTTTCCCAGGGATCGACGATGAATTGTGCCTGTCTGTGTTATTTCCCCTCCTGAGTACCATTCAGAGGCTGCGTCTCGTCTCCTGCCATGATGCCGCGACTCTGCGGGCATGGCAGCAGTCGAAGTCGATCTTGAGGATATGACCCTGGGCCTTGGATCTGAGGCCAAACAGGCTTGAGGCATGAACCCATGCTCGGAGCTATGACACGAGAGATCGGGCAATGACGTGAACAAATCGCCGGCTCAACGGGCCAGAGGCGTGCTGAGATTTCCGGAAACAGGTTAACAACATTCTAGTTCGCGCGCGCGGGGCGGCTCCTGGGGTTCCCCAGACGAAAAGTACCCCAGCCAGGCCCCTGCCAGGTCCCTGAGCAGGTCCCGTGGGAATGGTTTTGCTCCTGGGCGCCGCCCTCAGGGCCTCCCAAGAGCCCCGAGAAGGGCCGAGAGACCCCAAGAGGCCCTCAGTATGGTCCAACAGAGCTCCAAGACGCTACAAGATCGCACCAAAAAGGCTAAGATGGCTCCCAGACGGCCAAAGCGGCCTTCAAGAACAGTCCCCAGAAAGCCCTCAGAGCCGAAACTCACGCATGTCAATTTCGTCTTTTTAACGGTTTTGGTATTCTCACCTTTTCCGCTTCCCGACGCTCAAGGATAACCCAGGATGCCTCCAAGATCACAACCAGAAGGCCCAAGAGGCCCCAAAGAGCGCCCCAAAACGGCCCAAGACGGCCCCAAGCCGGCCCAAGAGAGCCCCACGACCCTCCCAAAAGGGGGCCCACAGAGGGAACCCCCAATGGACATTTCGAGCCCTCGGCCCGCTGTCGACTCGAGCCAGCGCGCCTCGCGCGAGGGGCGCCTCCGCGCCCAGTCGAGGCGCAACGAGCTGGGCCTCTGGCTGACGGCGGGCGCCGCGGGGGCCGCGCCGCGCCCCGTGCAGGACCGAAGGCTGCGACTGCAGGACGTGCGCAGGCGTAGGCGGCGCCCTGCGCGCGCGCGAGGAGTCCTGTTAACTGTTACTACAGGATCGGCTTGCGGCGCCAGTGCCCGCATCCACTGGCGTGCTAATCCCACCAGCCGTCGGGGCGTCGGTGGTTTAGGGAGTTTCCGCTTCCAACCTCCTTCGTCCCCTTCGGGGAGGGGTGTACCCCGCGGCGGCGCCGGCGGCGGTGGCGGCGGCGGCGGCGGCAGCTGTAGCGGCAGCGACTGCGGCGGCAACGGCTGCGGCGGCGGCGATTCGGCAGCGGCGGCGGCGGCGGCGCGGCGCCGGCGGCGGCGGCGGGCGGCGGCGGAGGCGGAGGCGGCGGCGGCGGCGGCGGCGGCGGCGGATTGGCCCCCAGTAGCTGGCCATCCAAAGACGACTGCTGCATATGCTGCGGCTCGGGTGCTACGTATGTGTTGGGAGGGCGGGTGGGAGTGAGCGAGACGGCCTGCGGGCGGGGAAAGAGACTCTTGACCCCTCCCCCGACCCCCTCCCCTGGACCTGGACGGGGGGTTTCGATACGCGTTGGAGCGTCCAAAACGGGCTCGGCGAGGAAGCCAATATCACTGGTTTTACTAAGGTTTTGGCCCCACTCTGGCCTCTTGAGGGGGGGGCTAATTTAGCCCCCCCCTCCTGTGTTGATCTCCTCCTAGATGGCCCCCAACAGGCGCCCAGGAGGCCCCAAGAGGCCCCGAGATGGCCCCAAGATGACCCCATGTGGCCCCAAGAAGCCCCCAAGAGGCCCCCAGGATGCCCCCAAAAGGCTCCCAAGAGACCCCCAAAAGGCCCCAAGAGGCCACCCAGAGGCACCCAAGACGTTCCAAGAGGCCTCGGCGAGAATGCCAAAATCACTGATTTGACATTGGTTTTGGCCACATTTTGGCCCCCTGGGGGGCGGCACTGCTTCAGATGACTCCGAGAGCGCCTGGGAGAGCCCAATATGACCTCCAAGATGGCTCAAGATACCCCAAGATGCGTCAAGATAGTTCCCACGATGTTCCAAGAGGTCCCAAGACCGCTCCAAGACGGCTCCACATGGCCAAAGAGCTCCCCCAGGAGGCCCCGAAAAAGCCAAAATCCTCCCAGAACCATTGGGAAATCAGTGTTTGTGGTTTTCTCGCCTTTTCGTTTCCGATGGCCATCCGAGGCTTCAAAATGGCTCCAAGAACGCCCAAGACGGTTCCAAGAGCGCCCCAAAGGATCCAAAGAGCGCTTCAAGAGGGCCCCAAGAGGCGCCAAGGAGCGCCCAAGAGGCCTCCAATAGGCTCCCAAGAGACCCCCAAGAGGCCCCAAGCAGCTCTCCGAAGCACCCAGGACGCTCTCAGAGGCGTCTGGGACCGCCAAGAGGCCCCCAAGACGCTCGAAGAGGCCTCCACTGGGGGACCCTTCCTCTGCGTGCTGCCCACTTCCCTAATCGAGGCAATTCCTCTGGGCATCGTTTCTGGATGGGCTGGCGGGGTTATTTTTTTCGTCGCGGCCGCCGGCGAGCGCGCCAGCAGCGTCAAGGGTCGGGCGGGCTACGCGCGAACCTAATTGCCTGGCGCCGAAAAACCGGCGGCCAAAGCAGCACCTAAGCTGACCAGACTGCGCGAGGTGGCGCGGGCTGCAGCTGCCAGAAACCAAGTCCAGGAGCGAGCGCATGTATACTTGGCCAACCGAGGTTGGGGCGCAGCCAAAATGGCGCGGGAGCGATACCAGGATGAAGCCAAGAGCACCATCACGAAGGAACACTGACACCAGCTAGGCCAGGAAGAACTCACTGACCAGGAAAGTAGCGCATGGAGGTGGCGCCACCAAAATCGCACACAACGAGACTCCTGAAGGGAGTACTGATCCGGACACTTGTCGTCAAACCGTGAACAATGAACACGAACGGCATAGCGGAGTCGCCAGGGAAACAATGGATGCGATCAACACCGTAACTGAACCTGAGACAACGGATCAAAGGAAACCACGGGAAACCACGCGCACTCCCGAACTATCTCGTCGACATCTGAGGAGAACTGACCAGGAATTGGGCAGGCGCGCGCCTCAAGCACGCGGTCGAGTGAACACGAAAGCGTCGTGGGCACCGCCGCCAAACAGTGGACGCAGTCAACAGTCGGCCGACAGTCAGGAGAGCACAGGCTGGACCACGTGCACTCGGGGGCCCCGCGCGCCAACGAGGAAGTTGGGCATGTGGAGCAGGGGGGGCAGGAAGCCAGGGCCATCAGGGCTGCTGCGGGCCCGGCTGCCTGAGGAGGGGCGGAAGGAGCGGGGGGGCCCAGGAGGCAGCGATGGCAAGAAAGGCGGCGCAGGGCCACCACCCCTGAATGCACCTTTGCGCCGCGCAGGGCCCAGGGGCGGCGTGGGGCGGAGGGCGCCGAGGCGCGGTGAGAACAACTACAGCGAGGCCAGGGGCCAACTAAAACGCGTGGACCACGGCCCCAGCGGCAGTCCACGCGCCGGCATTGTCAGCAGGCAGCTGCCAGGGCCCCCAGGGCGGGGGGCAGCGGGTGCTGAGGGGGAATGGAGGAGACCGGGAAAGCGGCTGAAAAGCGCACGCTCCACGGCGACGCAGGAGGAGAAGATGGAGGCAGAAAGCGCGACCAGGAAGTGGCTGGAGGCCACTGGTTTGCCGAAGAACAGATGGATCACCGCCACGTGCGGGAGCGCATGTCGCCTCTCCCGTCGCCGTTGTGGTCGCCGCCCCGCCTGCATCCTGTCTGCCAGTCGTTGGCGCCCCAGGAGTCTGTCCAGCACCAGCTGTCCCAGTCCCAGGATTGCTGTGAGCCGCACGCGCGGCCCTTTGGCTGGTGGCCGCCATTGCCCCGACCCCCCCTCCATTTTGCGCGCTCCTCGCCCCAGTCAACCCGCAGGTCGAGTTGCCGATCCAGCTCATAGGCGTCGGATCCACAGCGTCCCCAGGCGTCCAGGAAGTTGCGGCAGGAGGCCTCGGGGTTCAGTGCAGGGTTGCCTGTCGGCATTCCTTTGGCTCCCGGAGGGTGCTTCCTGGTGCATGCGTGCCAGACGCCGTTGAACGCGCCCCCCGGGTCCTTCTGGAGTCGCGCGATATTCGCCAAACCTGTCGAGGTCAACGTTGCTCAGCACCTCCTCGTACATGCGGCCTCCGTCCACGGGGTCAACGAGATCGTCGAAGGCACGGCTGGCTGCCCTGCTGTGTCTCCTGTCCCCAGGGGTGTCGTATCGCGCGGGAGTTGTCGGCGTTCTGCCTTCACCAGGGGCGCCGTCTGTGGCCGCTTGACTTCCAGGATCTGGCCTGCGCTGCGAGCCGCTGCTTCCCCGGGCCTCAGCAGAGCCGCGTTCGGGACCGTGGGCCGCACCCTCGGCCGGCGCCTCGCTGGACGGCTCGGCCCTGCCCCCGCCCGCCGCAGCTTGCCCGAAGAGGTTCAGGGGGTCGTCGGGAGGGCCGTCGTCGGCCGCGTCGCCAGCTGCGTCGAGCGAAGGTGGGAAGAAACTGCCTTCCTGCTCGGCTGTACCCTTTGCGTCTTCGGCAAACAGCGGCGAGGCCGCTGGTCGGGCCTCGTCGGCGTCGAAATCGACCTCATCGCTGTCGGCCTTATCGGTCGGCGATGGGTTCGCTGGAGAGCCCGCTGCCTCTTTACCAGGGAGGAGATGTGTCACGTCCTGCTCTGCCGCCTGAAGTGCGCGGTCCGCCTGCTGCGGGGGGTTCGGCCTTCTGGGGCTGGGCCGCGTCGTCGGGCTGGGCCTTGGGGTCCGCAGTTGACTCCGTCTTGTTCGGCGAGGTTCGCGATGGAGGCGGCTGCGAGCGCTCCGGGATCCAGGCTGGCCACGAAGCCGGCCAGGACGGCGAGCTCGCGGCGAAAGGGACTCGGGCCCTTGTCGGGCGCCAGGACCGCGCAGTGCGCCGCCCTGGCCCCCACGCGCTTCGCACTGCTCGCCAGGTGCCCGACCACTCTTGCTGCAGCCCATCTCTTGCCGTCCCATGGGACGCCCGAGGTGCGGTATTTCTACGCCGTAGATCCTGGCTAGGAAGAGTGTCAGCTGGTGGACAGGCAAAAAAGGTTTCCCGATCCTTCGGAGCTGGAATATGTACGCCTCCCGCTTTTACGTGGCCCGTCCAGCAGCCGCCCAGCGTGGGGTGGTAATCCCGCAAGTAGGCGACCAGGATATGCGGGGCCTCCTTCAGCTCGTTGGAGCGGCTGCGCTTGGAGTCGCTTGTCTCCTCCATGGCGAGGGTGGAGATTTCTGCAGTGGAGTCCTGGGATCTCTGATGGCGGCAAATCTGGGAGCAACCACAGGACCTCTGGGACTGCGTGGATGCGCGAGTCGGGCTGGGACACGTCGCCGCAGTTTCCGCTGCTGCTCGCCACTGGGCTGGCTGAGACCGTGCTGCGGGCGTAGGGATCGGGTGCGTTTGCGTCTGCTGCTGCGGGTGCAAGCTGGGTGGCCAAGTCGGGCGTGGCGTCGTCGCCGTATGCCTGCTCTGTGAGACTCGGGCGAGCTGCTGGCTGCTGTGGGTAGACTGTCCGGGAGTCTCGGTCCACGATACAGTCCAGGGTTGCTGGCGCGACGTTCCACATGTAGACCAGGCACCCTCTGCAGCAATACGCGGCGTTCCATTTCCGCTCGAACCAGGAGAGCGGCCACTGATCCCACTCGGGAAGACCTGCGCGCCCAGCGCTTCCTGTCTCGGCCTGGGCCTTCCAGACGAAGCAGCCGAGAGCTAGGGCGTCGACCTTCCATGCCAAGAGTGGGCCTCCAGGCGGGCATGCGTCGCACTTGGCGGAGTAGGAGCCCGTTTTGCGAGCCTCGCCGCCGAACCTTCCGTCCAGGATCCTTTTCGCTGGCAGTGTAGTGTTGGCGATATTTGGGCAGTGCTGGGTCGGCGGGGCCATCAGGAGGTCGGCCAGAGTCCTGGAGTCCTGGGAGAGAGGATTGCAACCGAAGCCTAGGGGCCAGTGGCTGGGGAGCGGAGGGAGCGCGCTGGCCTTGGGGTCGCATGGCCGGCCGCTTTGCCAGGCCGCGTAGTCCTGGACCTTGGCGGCCACGGTCGCCCCCGCTGGACCTGGGACGCCCCTTCCGTTGAGGCTGACTACCCAGCAGGTCTCGCATAGCCAGGTGAAGTTCTGCCCAACCCAAGTACGCCTGAGGTCTGTCGCTGACCAGGAGGCCCCTGACGATGTCATCCTCCGAAGTCCCGTCGTTAGACTTCAGCCGGGTCTTGGAGCAGCCGTCACAAGTGAAGAGTGCGTTCTTCTGCTCGCTCTGCAGCCCGTCCTCGCTGATGGCCATGGGGACCAGCATCGCGCCAGGCGCGGGGGCTGCTGGTGCGGGCGAGGCCAGATCGGTCTTGGAGAGGGCTGCGCCTCCGCCAATGTACCCCAGCGCGGCGTCGCCTCTGTCTTCATCCAGGCCAGCCTCGGACCCTGCTAAGGCAGCGTGGACCGCGCATACGGAGCACTTGTAGTCTGTCAGGGGTGCAAGCTTGGCCGCGGGTGCGATCTTTTCCAGGACGATCATTGGAGCCTTGAGCTTCAAGTCGGCCTTCTCCATGTCCTCCCAGGACTGTGGGCACCCTGCAGCCCTCGCCGCATCGTGGTGATGCGCGTTCGTTACCAGGCGCGAGATCTGGGCGAACGCGCGTTCGACCCCCCCGCGCAGCTCCACGAAGTCGTCTAGCGAGAGATTCCAGGCCGCCGCGAACTTCAGCCGAAACCCCAGGTGCGCATCCTGCCAGGGAACGCAGATACCGAGCACGGCCTCGAGGACGCCGCCGGCACCTTCGGCATGAGGAAAGGGCCACAGGAAGGCCCTGGGCTCCCTTATCATGAGCATCACGATGACCAGGAGGGCGCACGCCTTCCGGGAGTCCAGGGGAGGGCCGTCTGCGTCCTTGAGTCTGACTCGCAGCTCTTGGCCCTGGGCCCTGGGGCGCCACGCGCAGCAGCTGCGCCAGGGTGTCCATTCCAGGATGCGTCCTGTGGCGGCAACAGTCGCGTGTCGTGGCGCTCCAGGCTTCTGGGACTAGTCGCAGCAAGCCCTTCGGCGCGCACTGGCGCCCTGCCCGTGGGCGACTGCAGCGACCTTCCACAGGCGGAGGCGATGGGAGTGAGTCATCCGAAAGGGCGCGGTCGCTGTCTTCCCAGGGTGCGCCTAGGCCCGTGACCCACACCAGGCGTGCCCAGAACATGTCGTAGACCAGGTTGCTTGCGTCCAGGCCTGTGCCCATGTCGTACAGGAAGCCCAGGTGTGACCACGCCTTACGGTCCAGCTTGCCAGGGCCCCATGGGGGCCTCGGCTGCGGAGAACTCGCGCGGGTGGAGCCCCGAGCCCAGGTAGAGCGCAACTGCGAGCGCTGGCGCGGAGGGGAGGTTGTCCATACAGTCGGTGGTGGACCTTCCCAGGGCGTCCCAGCTGAAGTCGGGCTTGAGCGGCGCCTCGACCCTGTCGGCGAAGGTATTGGCCAAGGATTCACATGCTCGCTTGATGGCGATGTCGATCTCCTTCGTCGCATTATCTCCATCCACGCTGCCCTTCCAGGATATGGGCATGCTGACCCAAGTGGCCAGGTCTTTGACTGGGTCAAAGCTGGGGTCCAGGGCCAGGAGTCGCCTGTTGCCTGATGCCTGCTTCTCCTGGGACCTGACCCAGAGGCTGGCAAGCCTCCCGCACTCTGAAAGGGCCCGAAGCCTGGACCAGGTGGCGTTTGCGAACATCCTCCCGTCTCCGATGACCAGCACGAATCGGCATGTTCTGGCGATCGCGACGTTGACCCTGATGGCATCGTCGAAGAAGTCCCAGTTGTGCCCTCCTTTGGACCTGGCCGTCAGGAAGATCACGATATCGGCCTCGCCACCCTGGCTGGAGTCAATCGTGGAGAGTTTCAGAGTGCCTCCTCGAGGTGCGCGGAGGCGATCTGTCGTAGGCCAGGGAAGCGCAAGCTGATGCCAGTCCAGTCGTTGTCGGGCTGGTCGAAGACTCGCTCCCATCCGGCCGTGTCTACGGGTCGGCTTTCGGCTTCGCTCGGTCCAGTCCCGGGTGCTGGTGAGCGGCTGCAAACGTCCCTGGGTCATCTCCCCCTTTGCCCCTCCCGCCCGTCGGCTCGCCTTTCCCGCCCCGGGCGTCACGCAGGACACCTGACATGTTGTTTGGACCCTGCGGCCAACCGTCTTCCAGGATCGCTGTCTGCAGGTGGTAGCCGACTACCAGGCGCACCTTTACCCCGTCGACGAGGGCAGGCAGGAGGGCGCGAACAATGTCGACTGCCTGCGCCGCCTCTGGCAGGTTGGCGCAGCCGGCATGTATACTGGAGGTGACTTCCAGGGAAGAACTATCGACCAGGAGGAAGCGGTGCCTGTCGCCTGGGTCCACGCTGGAAGGGGGCAGCGGGGCGAGGGTCTTCTCCAGGTCGTCTTTCTCCGAGTTTGTGAGCTTGGCCAGTTCGTCTAGTCTGGTGCCGTCCCAGGCGCGGATCGGGCGCCATGGGAGACCTTCGACCAAGGGCCGATCTGCCAGCGGGTTGGTGAGGCCGCTGACCATGCAGCTGTGGTAGAAGGCCCATTTCGGCCAGGTCAAGATCTGCGGGCCCATCCTATAGCACACGGTGAAATGCACGATTGCGGCGTCTTGTCCTCGCGGGGCGTGGTACAGTCGGTCGAAGATGCTGACGCAGAGCCCCAGGTCCGGTGGCCAGCTGGAAATAACGGTAGGAGGAAGCTGCTTAGGGTCACCTACCAGGACCAGGTGGCCTCCGCTGCGGATCACGTTGACCAGGGACATGGTGGAGTGAAGTTCGGTGGTCTGCCCAGCTTCGTCGACCACCAGGAACGCTAACTGGTTCGGGCACCCACCCACTGTTTCCGCTGCCTCGTGCGTGGGGAGGATCACCTTTACTTCGTTGATGAGCTCCGATCGGAACGCTGGTGGGGTTATTTTGTTTTCGGTCGCGGCCACGAGCGAAGAGGCAGGCGGCGGGCAGGGTGTCCGGGCCAACGGTCAAGCCTAATTATCTACAGCAAGCGCACTAGCCGGCCGGCCCACTCAGAGCAGCCGCGAGGCAGCGGGGGGACTGACGGCGCGGGGCATCCCGGGAAGCCGGTGGGGTTACTTTTTCTGGTCGCGGCCGCGCGACAACGGTCAGGCGGCGAGAAGCAAAGTCCGGGGCATGCGGCACGATGCGAATTTGCGAACACCGCCGCCATGTTGGCAAGCTAGTTCGCACCTGCACAGAAGGTGCGCAGCTGCACATGCACAGAACAACTGGTGGGGTTACGCGAAGCGTCTAGAATAAAGCCTGCAGCGTCCGCGGTGTATCCTGGAGGCCTTTTGTGTGCTCACTGCAACGCATGCGCGTCTTTGGAGCGCAGAGTGGGGGGGGGCAGGGGAGCTCTGCAGGACTTGAATCCCACCAGCCCTCTGGGCGTCGGTGGTTTAGAGCGTTTCCTCTTCCACCCCTCCTTCTTCCCCTTCGGGGAGGGGTTTACCCCTCCGCCTACCCCCTCCCCACTGACCTGGACAGGGGGTTCCGCGGTGCGTTGGAGCGCCCAAGATGGCCCAAGACGGCTCCAAGAGGGCCTCAGGGAGCCCAAGATACCCTCCCAGATGGCTCAAGATAGCGCAAGATGCCTCAAGATGGTCCCCATGATGTTCCAAGACGTTCCAAGAACTCTCCAAGACGGTTCCAAGTGCCCACA